ATTGAGGGCAGGCGAAGATGAATATGCATCTACTGGGAAGATAATTAAAGGATTTCACGACTTTTGGTCGACCTTTAAGGCACCAAAAGGCACGGATGTTCGATATCTCGAGTTTGGTGGTGGACCTTCTATAGCCAACCTTGTTTTTGCCTGCCCAAAAGTGGATCATATTGTCTTTGCCGAGTATGCAGAAGCGAATAGGCAAGCTGTGAAGTCGTGGATTGCTGGCGACCCAGATGTATACGACTGGATGCCTTTAATTGAAGTCGCTGTTCTTGAACTCGAACAAGGACGTGGCATTGCAGAAAGTCCTGTTGTACCGCGAACAGACAAAGAGAAGCTCGACTGTGTAAATCGTGCTAATGAACTGAAACGAAAAATAAAATCTGTTGTCCCATGTGATGTGACCAAAGCACCAATAGTCCAACTTGATACGGACGACGTTGCCAAACCGTTCGACGTCGTGTCCACCAGCTTGTGCCTTTATGTATGTGTGTCATCTGAGGTGCACTACAAGAACACCGTCGCAGAACTTTGCAAATTACTCAAGCCAAACGGCTATCTATTCATTCTCGGCTTCTTAGAGCAGACGTTTTATGTTCTCGGCGAAGAAACGTTTTCTACCTTTCCTCTAACCGAGAAAATGGTGAAAGACGCAATGAATGAAGCAGGAATGCAAATTTTGAAATTTGTATCAATTCCAATATTGTACTCAACAGAGCATGAAGATGGTACAGCTATATATTATACTTATTGCAGAAAATCTGCGGCCAGAGAGTAACAATCAGCACGAACTTGCAACAATTATTGCTAGAATTTGGGCTTTTTGGTTAATACAGTTAGCATGTAACTACGTTTCTGTAAAATTTACAGCTGTTGTTTACCGCTTTATAACAATAATTCATTTATGTAATATGTTAAATAGCTTGTATTGTATAATAAAAAACTGTTCCATGTAGATATCTTGGTCAAAATAGTATGATAATCTTCGTGGAATCTTATATTAAGTTTGCCATTTTTGCATGGATTTGAAATATTTAATCTACCGCGCTTTCCAGTTGTGTCTTTTGTGAGGAAAAATTTGATTCTCTCGCTTGGTTGGGCACATGTGGTACACGTTGTTGTAACAAGTTTGGAACTAGCTGTATAGTCCCAGGCTTTCTCTCTTCTGTTTGATATCGTTTCGGAAACGAATCGAACGAACAAATTATGTGAACGGCTTGTTCACAAGTTGCTACAAGGTTGTTGAGCTCAACAGACTTGTTACAAGTTGTTCCAAAAACTTGTTACCGTCTTGTTGCAACTTGATAAAACGTAAACAGCATTACTGCAACTTCATACGCAAAATCTCACATCTTGTAGCAAGTCTGCCAACAAGATGCGTTCGCACTGCTCGCCCCAAGTTGTCAACAAGTTTGGGACAAGCTGTTAACAGTTGTGACAATCTTGTTGACATTGTCAGACTTGTATGTTGCAAGGTTGTTTGAACAAGTCCGATACAATCATGAAATAACAATATTGTTACAACCTTGTCTCGTCAACCTTGTAACATTCTTTTTATATATCACGACTGTATCAGACTTGTTTGAACAAGCTGGGAACAATCGGTGCGAGCACATCCAGTTGACAAGTTGTCGGAACAGCATTTGTAACATGAAGGATGATATTTCAATAAATGGCGGGTTACCTCAAAACCTTCAATGAAATAAAACGCAGGCTAAATGACACTCTATGCAGTGTGCATTGGATCTTACACACATCTGTCGCCTCCATTTCTAATAACGTGAACATGGGCATTTTCTCGTGTTTTGTTCTGGCTGGCCCTACTCGAAAATCGGGGTATTCCAATGTGGTAATCGGAAAAGTCATGTGACTGTTTTCAGTTCCATTCCATCAGTGTTACGAAAATCCGGAGTTCTTCGAAGATTAAATGGACCCGCTTTGTTGGAGGAGATGCCCAACCAAGCGAGAATCAAATTTTTCCTCACAAACGACAAAACAGGAAAGCGCAGTAGATTAAATATTTCAAATTCATGCAAAAATGGCAAACTTAATGCACCAGTCAATGTATTTATTTATTTATTTATTTATTATGCTTTGCCAATTTCACACAATCGTATCTGCACAAATACAAACACAAGAATATACAAACTATCAATCAATCAATGACACGGTATATGCTACAGCTTTGCGCCAATTACAGCAGCCCTTACAGAACGGACATGGCACATTCTACATTAGATCTTTAGTAATATAAAAAGGCCAGTTTGCACCCAGAAAAACCCTCCGCAGGATAGTAACGGAAGGAAAGTTACTATTATTATTATTATAAGCATTTATTTCAACACGATTAAATTCGCAGCATAGCTGATGTGGTCGTGCATTTACATAGTTATGTGCCTAAACCCACCCTGTCAACTTTCCCTGTGGGAGGAAACACGGAGTACCCGGAGAAAACCCACGACTTTCGGCAGAGCGTTGACTTTACTCTTTTCACATTAGGACTGGGTTCCAGTCACAATGAGAAGTCCTCACTGAGATTCGAACCCGCGGCCTTAGAGGTGAAAGGCAAGTGCGCTAACCACTTCGCCACCGTTACATAGTGCTAAAGTCGATAGTTTCAATGCCGTGCGCTCCTGCGTAAAATTTTATTGAGTGGAAATTAGCCGACAATGAAGCTTAACAAGACCAACACAGGGACACACGTTAGAATTAATAACAACACGAATTTGAACAAGACAAATTACGGGACTTGTTACAAGACAAACATATAGACTTCCATGTTCTAGGATTTTCTGCGTCGTAAATGTTCAGAGCCGATTTGTAATATTCATAGAGATCGCTTTTGAAACGACCTAAGCTTATGTTCTTTGTTGTCAACTCTTTTGGCAGAACATTCCCTACTCTCACACACCTGGATATAAACGATCTCTGGAATGTTGCAGTCCTACACTTTAAATCCCCCCCCCCCCCAACAGAGGAGTGGCGGAGGTCAGGATTTAGGGGGAAAGAAGTCAGCTGTGATTGTAAATATATCCCCGTTGATGGGGACTTGGACGACATTTTCTCTTTCGGTAGACGATGCGGGGACGAAACGAGGGAATGGATTCAGTGGTCAACATATATATCCTGTGTTGCTGCTTTAGTTTTCTTTACAAGAAAATTTTAAATACAATAACATTAATGAATTTGATTTTATATTGCTGATTTATGAAATATACAAAACTATTTTCCCGGGGTTGAGAGACATGCGGGGACATTGATTAATTACCCTTTCCCCCGGGGCGGGGCCAAGTTCGCTCTTTTACTACCTCTAAGTGAAAATCCCAGCCCCTCCCCGTTCGGGGGGCGGGGGGTTTACATTGACTGATGCATAAGATTCAACGAAGATTATCATAATATTTTGACCATGGATTTGAAATTTGTTTAACTGCGCTTTCCAATTTTGTCGTTTGTGAGGAAAAATTTGATTCGGCACCAGGGGGGGGAGTAGTTCTTTAGCTCCAATATGGCAAGGTTTTCCGGCATATGACGTCAGCATCGTAATTTTCCCGTCATTAACGTCATTTACGTCCGGGGCTATATATCTACACCCCCTGTGCCGAATCAAATTTTTCCTCACAAGCGACCAAACTGGAAAGGACTGTTGAACAAATTCAAATCCAAGCAAAAATGGCTAACTTAAGACTCAACGAAGATTACCAGAATTATTTTGACCCAAAAATCTACTTGGAACAGTATTATGAAAAATTGAGGGCAGGCGAAGATGAATATGCATCTACTGGGAAGATAATTAAAGGATTTCACGACTTTTGGTCGACCTTTAAGGCACCAAAAGGCACGGATGTTCGATATCTCGAGTTTGGTGGTGGACCTTCTATAGCCAACCTTGTTTTTGCCTGCCCAAAAGTGGATCATATTGTCTTTGCCGAGTATGCAGAAGCGAATAGGCAAGCTGTGAAGTCGTGGATTGCTGGCGACCCAGATGCATACGACTGGATGCCTTTAATTGAAGTCGCTGTTCTTGAACTCGAACAAGGACGTGGCATTGCAGAAAGTCCTGTTGTACCGCGAACAGACAAAGAGAAGCTCGACTGTGTAAATCGTGCTAATGAACTGAAACGAAAAATAAAATCTGTTGTCCCATGTGATGTGACCAAAGCACCAATAGTCCAACTTGATACGGACGACGTTGCCAAACCGTTCGACGTCGTGTCCACCAGCTTGTGCCTTTATGTATGTGTGTCATCTGAGGTGCACTACAAGAACACCGTCGCAGAACTTTGCAAATTACTCAAGCCAAACGGCTATCTATTCATTCTCGGCTTCTTAGAGCAGACGTTTTATGTTCTCGGCGAAGAAACGTTTTCTACCTTTCCTCTAACCGAGAAAATGGTGAAAGACGCAATGAATGAAGCAGGAATGCAAATTTTGAAATTTGTATCAATTCCAATATTGTACTCAACAGAGCATGAAGATGGTACAGCTATATATTATACTTATTGCAGAAAATCTGCGGCCGGAGAGTAACAATCAGCACGAACTTGCAACAATTATTACTAGAATTTGGGCTTTTTGGTTATTACAGTTAGCATGTAACTACGTTTCTGTAAAATTTACAGCTGTTGTTTACCGCTTTATAACAATAATTCATTTATGTACTATGTTAAATAGCTTGTATTGTATAATAAAAAACTGTTCCATGTAGATATCTTGGTCAAAATAGTATGATAATCTTCGTGGAATCTTATATTAAGTTTGCCATTTTTGCATGGATTTGAAATATTTAATCTACCGCGCTTTCCAGTTGTGTCTTTTCGAGCAACATGTTTATTGTAATTTTAATATTCTCCATAAAATTTTACAACTTTTTCAAAAAATGTTTAATTAAATTAGTTCACGAGTTTTAGTTTTGAGTTTTTGTCTTTCCCTTGAACAAAACACCTTTCGCCAGTCATTACAAGTATATTTGAGAAATTCAAGCCCATATTAACTAATGGTTAATTAATGTCGTGTAAACTGTTCATAAAGTTCTCTGCAATTGTCCCTTCTCCTTCACACACACACTTCAGTGCTTCATCAAAATACAACCAGTATTTCAGTTTTTCATCCGATTCCATCATCAAATAAGGATGTTGACGTTGCGACGGATGATCAATTATACATCCATTACAGTTTTTCACGTCTACCAAAGCTGAAATAATCGACGCAATTTCATTGGCATAGCAATTCAACAATTTATCGTCAATCATTTTCTGGCGATGACTTAAAAACAATTCTTCTTCTCCTATGTCCGTAGGTATTGTTAATTTGAGGTTGCTTGTTTCGAAAGGCATCATTTATTCAGCAAAACACGTCCTTATAGTCTAAGAAACCAAGCTCGGCAAATGAAAACTGTTTTGAAAATAATAGCTTTATAAAATATAAAACATTTTACAGTAACAATATTATATATTTCAACATTATTTCAAAAATTTCATATATTTCAAATAAGTATATTTCAACAATACATCATATCCGCACAATAAAACGAATTAACCAATCACAACAGTCATTTCTACTCGTTTCCGGTCGAAGTGCGCGCGCATTGATCTCACACGGCCTACCTGGGAACTAGTCGACACAGGTTGTTGCACGTTGGTCAAATTTAGCAAAGTTTCTCCCACTCGTGCGGGAGCGGACATCTTACATACGTATTGAGAGCGGACATCTTACAGAAAGTGGGCAGTTCTGTGCAAAATTCAAAAGTTTCATTTTTTTAGCACAAGTCCGCTGAAAATGCGAGCCTGCGATACTGGGAGAAAATTTGCTGAATATGACCAGCGTGTTGGTCTCGAAAAAATGCTGACTCGACAAAGCTATACCTGCAGGATAACTACAAAAGACAGGGACGCCGGAACTGGGGCAGGAGTGGCAGCCGCCCCCGTTGCCCTTTACCAGGAGGGGCAAGGGGGACAAAGGTGCCCTTTCAATTTAAAAGACAATCTCGTTCCCAGAGTATGCCGCGAACAGGCATACTCTGGGAACGAGATTGTTTAAAAGATTGCCTTGGCGAAATAGCGAATTGTCAGAAATGTTAGTGCAATTCTTCTACGAATTTTCTTCAGAAAACGCAAGAAATGCAGTCATCGAGCTTCAAGAATAGCACAATCGCCTGGCGGAGAACCCACTCACATCCCTATCATTCCATAAATAGAAAACAGGATTAGGCGAAGTTCAACTCCCGATGTTTTGCAAAGATCTCAATAGTATATATCAATTCAAAAGTGCCCTTTCACGAAAATCTGCCCCCCTTGCCTTCACATCGTTCCGGCGTCCCTGACTATAGATATACACATTTTAAATATCCATTCAGCCACGTTATACTACGGACTGTTTTTTTTTTGTATGCAGAAACGAAAGCCAGAAATTAACCCTATCCTTTCAGGTACGTTCGAAAATCAAAACGTGTAACAGAAGTGTCTAGCTTAGCGGTTAGTCGGTTACTGTAGTAAAAAAGAACAAAAACAACAATTCACGCTCTTTCATAAACGTTTCAACAATTTTGTTTCGATTTTTACGTATTATATGATAAATTATAAATATGTACTTCTTGAACGATAGATTTTTTGAAAACTGTTGATTTTCGTTATTTTTAGTCATAAATGTCAAATCAATGGAAACAAGCTAGCAATAATGGACAAATCATGCGGCCAGTTCCAGGAGACGCGGGCGGAGGACGGGAAACTAAAGTCTAATTTGGAGTGACCCGCATATAGCTCTGTAGCTTTTCAATCGTTCATACAGATAGCTTGTTGGGGGTCGGGTTGCATCCTCTTCAGAATTTTTTTTTAAATCTAGGCTCTCTAAACTGGCACTTTAGCATTCAAAATGTATAAAATGTAAATGGCAATGTTTAATCAAGTGCGAGGTTTTCACTACCCTGGATTCCAGAGCCTTCGACAGTAAATAATAAATTGAAATGTCGCGAAGGCTCTGGTTCAACGGGGCGATTCTTTGATTAAGCCGCGCCAATCACAAAACAGAATTCTGTACTAAAACCACTAATTCTGTTTTGTGATTGGTTCTGTACTAAAACCACTAATTCTGTTTTGTGATTGGCGCGGCTTAATCAAAGAATCGCCCCGTTGAACCAGAGCCTTCGCGACATTTCAATTTATTATTTACTGTCGAAGGCATTGGAATCCAGGGTAGGTTTTCACCGTGGGGTTCGGAAATTTATTGCCATGCAAGATTCAAATGACTTTCCCAAATTGTGCTGATATTAATTTGTGTCTGCATTATACTATTTCCAACTTCCAAGCCAAACTGAACTCAAAGTCATTGGACATCACAATATACATAAGTCCGACTCAAAGTCATCGAATATTTTGTGAGACGATTCTCTGACCGATATTTTAAGGCGCGCGACACTCAAATGGAAGATCCACACGACTTAAAGAACTAACGAATTAAAACTCTGCCGGACGAAAGCGGTTTTTAAAAGTGCGCGATTATACGCCAAATGTGGGATGCTTGATTAAATCGCTCAATGATTTTGACAAGTCGTTTGAAATGCAGTCTGGCCATGATAATCACGATTTATTAACAGAAACCTTTTCAAATTATCATTGCGACATTAGCTTCTTCATTCCTTTTTTCCCACTGAAAAAAAAGACCACTGTGTTTCCTGTTATCATTATAAACTGTTAATGTGGTGTTAATTTGCTTCACATGTACGTCTGTGGGCTGCGAAGGACGTTTTAGACACATCTTTGAATACAATATTTCATCGACTTGCGGAAGTTTGAAATTTTTTTGATCAATATATTTTCGCAGCATGTCAAATTTAATTAGCAGGTGCAAGACTAAAATAGACTTAGAGCCATTAATAACCCGGGGGGAGTGGGCGAGTAATGGTTTTGCATTGTGTATACTTGAAAGTGAGCACAAGGTTTTGAGAAAGTAGCAAAATATAGAGATCCAATTGACCTTTTGCGTAATAGACTAAATTTTGATCACAACAAAAATTTCATCACAGCTTGAAAGAGCATCACAAAATTAGTAATATTCCAAAGTTTCGTTGCGAAATGTTGTAAAATGCGGAAAATATAGCCTTGCGAAGTTTGCAATTTTCAGTCATTTTAGATTACAAACCGGAAATTGACAGCCTCAAACCCTTCGAGGCTGTCCATTTCCCGTTGTAATCTAAAATGACTGAAAATTACAAACTTCGCAAGGGCTATATTATCTGCATTTTACAACATTTCGCAACGAAACTTTGGAATATTACTAATTTTGTGATGCTCTTTCAAGCTGTGATGAAATTTTTGTCTAGACTTGTTTAGATCAAAATTTAGTCTATTACGCAAATGGTCAATTTGCTAAAAGAATTTTTTATGCAGTATATAAAAGAGCAGCTGTTTCACATGTAAAAACTTCATGATCACGAAAATTAATAAATTGTATTTTCCATCTCGTGGATCTAACGCCTTTCAGTTTCATAACCCGTTATTAATAGCATATTTTTACGTTTTCGAAACTAACTTCACTATTAATTTAATTAAATAGCTACACATGTAAAACGCACAAGTTGTAACAAACCCACAGCAGACTTGTAGCAATGCTGTTCCAACAACTTGTCAACAGCTGGATGTGTTCGTACTGCTTGTTCCCAGCTTGTTGACAACTTGTTACTAGGTTGTTGAGCCCAACTGCAGACTTGTTACAAGTCGTTCCAACAACTTGTTATCGTCCTGCAATTCAACAATTTGTCAACAAGTTGTGAGTGACAACCTTGCAGCAACTTGATAAAATAACAGCATTGTTACAATTTGTTGACCTGTTTCGAACACATCTTGTTGACAAGTTGTGAGGTTTTTACGTGTTACACGTATAGTTGACACTTGCTCCATGTTCTTTCTGGCTTAAAAAATATTTCGTTCAAAAACACTCACAATGGTCAATGGAAGAACGTAAATATCATTTCCAATTTACCACTTTCATTCTTGAAGTATATCGCTAAAGTCAAGATAAAGGTTGTATATATATACAAAGTTCAAAACACATTGAATGGAAAGTACTTTATATATACAAAGTTCAAAACACATTGAATGGAAAGTACTTTAAAAGTACTTTCCATTCAATGTGTTTTGAACTTTGTATATATATACAACCTTAAGTTTATTAAATCATTGCCATTGCGGTTTTTAACATGAAATTAAGGAACAGAAGCTATTATAATACGATAGATTGTAAATATAATGAGTATATAATGGCCAGGTTATGTGCATGAGTGCATGTTATATGCGAGCTTCGTTGCTTCGTACGTTTAATTTAAATCTGATTGAATAGCTTAACTGAAAAGCTATCTTGGCTGAATCGTTCGTATCGTCTTCCGCAGTTTACGAACTATTTAAAACACGAGTAGGTGTACTTTATCAGATATAAACGGTGTTTTATCTGCGAGTGTTTTAAATGGCTTTAAAAAACGACCTATCTTATGAGTTATGAGTTCATTGGCGAAGTAATTTTAAAAATAAACGTCTAAGCCGAGAAAATGAAAGCTAAAGCGAGGGGCAATTCACTCCAAAAATCCCGTACACTTCGTCAAAAAATCCGGAAAAAATCCAGAAAAAATCCATGAAATCCTCAAAATCCGTTGAATCCATCAAAATCCGAAAAATCCTTTAAAAACCACAGAAATCCTTCAAAATCCACAGAAATCCTTCAAAAATCCACAGAAATCCTTCAAAATCCTTAAAAAATCCGCAAATCCACAAAAAATATATGAAGTACTTGGTGTAATTTACTCGTAAAGGTTCTTTGCCACATTCAAAATGGCGGACAGCGAAAGCTAAACGCTTACCGTGATCGCTGTCATTATATTTCGTAATTATTGGACCACTCTACATTTCCATTTATACGCTCGAGTATATGCTAAGTTTTTTTAGCCTACTACTACTAAATATGTGTTCTTGTTACAATGACGTTATGTTGTAAAATATAATTACAAAACCAAAAGTTATTCACCATTGTCTTTTACTGCTTTTGAAAGAATAATGAACTTGTTCGAATTTTAAACAAAATGACTGCATGCCCAGCCTTCGTTAGTTTCTGAAGGCTGTGGTCCTAGTCCCAGTCCTCTGCTCGACCCAGACGTCCTGGCATAACGTTGACGTCGTACACTCGTACAACTTAAGATTATTTGTTCAAAACGTTACCTAGCTCTATAAATCTATAATTAAAAAAAATCCAGAAAAATTCCGAACAAATCCGGAAAATCCAACAGATTTTCAAAAATCCAGAAAAAATCCGAACAAATCCGGAAAATCCGAACAAATCCGGAAAATCCAGC